CTGACAAAAGCATGAAGAGCTCTAGGAGAAGGAAGAGGCTTTAAAAAGCTAATCTACCTTTTATTTATTTTTTAAGATTTTATTTATTTATTTGACAGAGAGAGACACAGCAAGAGAGGGAACACTAGCAGGGGGAGTGGGAGAGGGAGAAGCAGGCTTCCCGCAGAGCAGGAAGCCTGATGCGGGGCTTGATCCCAGGACCCTGGCATCATGACCTGAGCCGGAGGCAGATGCTTAACGAATGAGCCACCCAGGTGCCCCTTGAATATAATTTTTAGAGAATTTAAATATATTTCATTTTTTTAAATTAAGTAGGCTCCATGCCCAATGTGGGGCTTGAACTCATTACCCTGAAATCAAGAGTCGCATGCCTCACTGACTAAGGCAGCCAGGCACCCCCAAATATATTTCATTTTAAAAGGTAGATTAGCTGGGCACCTGGGTGGCTCAGTCGGATTTTCTTTTCTCTTAGGGGATTGTTAGGATTAAACCTGTGAAATGGGATCTAATACTTGCCAAGTATTTTTTAGTTTCTGTCATTTCAGGTTGCAGATTTCTCTCCCAAAAGCCCTGACACTATAATTATACACATTTGAACCTAAATTTTGCCCCCTACTAGAAACAGAACTTGTTAGGGAGTTTGAAAAAGAAATCTGGTACAACTTGGGTCGCTACCTGCTAATAGTTGATATAACATGTAAAAGCATGGATAAACCTTATTACAAAGGGTGAAGAAGCCATTTCCAGACCTACTAACATGAGATCCCTTGAAATATATCCAATGAGGATAGTTAAAAAAATATGAATTAGGTAGGAAACAATGGGCCTTAATTTTCAAAATTTTTGTGTGAAAAGCAGTTTTTCCCATAACACTTCTTTTGATAAGGGAAATTCCCAGATATTTGAGGTTGCAGTCTTCTAAATGCTATCTTCAATTCAGTTCTTCTATTTTTCACTTCATCTTATATGCTACCAAATTATCTAGAACACAAGAGTGTTACTCCCCTCCAAAAAAAACTTCAACACCTTTCCATTGTCAGAGAAATAAGTTTAAAACAACCTGATATTCAGTACCACCATTTTTTGGTTGTGACCTACCTTCTAAACTTTATCTTGAATTATTTTCCTACACTCTGGGCTAGCCCAGGCCAGGGGTTGGGAATCTATAGCCCGAAGACTAAATCCAGCAGACTACCAATTTCTGGAGGGCCGTCAAGTGATTTTTACATTTTCTTTCTTTCTTCTTTCTTTTTCTTTCTTTCTTTTTCTTTCTTTCTTTCCTTTCTTTCTTTCTCTCTCTTTCCTTTCTTTCTTTTTTTAAGATTTTATTTATTTGAGAGACAGAGCACAAGTGGGAGGAGAGGGAGGAGGCTCCCTGCTCAGCAGGGAGCCCGATGTGGGGCTCAATCCCAGGACCCTGGGATTACAACCTGAGCTGAAGGCATACGCTTAACCAACTGAGCCACCCAAGAACCCCTAATTTTTTTTTTTTTAAAGATTTTATTTATTTATTTGACAGAGACACAGCGAGAGGGAACACAAGCAGGGGGAGTGGCAGAGGGAGAAGCCGGCTTCCCGACGAGCAGGGAGCCTGATGTGGGACTCGGTCCATCATGACCCGAGCCGAAGGCAGACGCTTAACGACTGAGCCACCCAGGCACCCGAGCCCCTAATTTTTTTTTAAAGATTATTTATTTTTTAGAGGGGGCAGGGAGAGTGCAGGAGCCAGGGGAGGGGCAGAGGGAGGAGAGAGAATCTCAAGCAGACTTCCTGCTGAGCGTGGAGCTGAGACAGGGCTAGATTCCAGGACCCTGAGATCAAGAATCAGACCCTTAACCAACTGAGCCACCCAGGTGCCCCAATTTTTACATTTTCAAAAGGTTGGAAAATAATATCTTGGGCCGTGTGAATATAAGAAATTCAAATTTCAGCATTCTTAGTTTCCTTTTTTTTGAACACAGCCACTCATTTGTTTACATATTTTTATGGTTGATTTCATGTTACAATAGCAGTTCAGAAGGTGCAACTTATCTTGTAACTTATCTGACTCCTTACAGTAAGTCAGGCAGCCCCTGACCTAGATACTCTTCTCTCTCTTCACCTATCAAGATTCCTGCTTGAAATTCCTCCCATTCATTCCTGCTGTCACCTTTAGGAGGCTGTCAAAGAAGAGTTTTCAAAAAATTTGAAAAACATAATTCTCCTACAAATATAAAATTAACACGAGCCAAATATTTAATTCACTGATGGAACTAGTAAGATGGTAAAGCTGGTTTCAGAAGCATTTAAAGAACTAGGTATTTATAGGCATAAAAATAAAGAGAATAAGGTTGCAGGTTAAACAAAACTGGCTAGTGTTCTACAGAGCAATAAAACTAACTTTGGGGTTAGCTTTTTTATCACTCAGAAATTTTGAGCTCTAAGTATATTATAAATACCAAAGTCAAACATAGGTACCTTCCCCTAGAGAACAATCCTTGGGGAGGCAGGTTAAACCATGTCCCAGTATGAACTGAAAGGTCATCCCTCCATTCCTTGCTTTATTTCCATGTTAGGGATTAATTTTTCCTAACAAGGCCTGACCTAATCCTTCCAGTCAATATCGACCTCTCCTTTTATTCTCCCATTACTTTTTGTACTTCCGTTATAACACTCTATCTCGACTTGCGTATTTTGTTTTCCCCAACAGGCAGTAGGCTCCTTAAAACCATAGTATTTGAAAGCTGGGATTTAACACCCCTTTCAAACGAAGCATAGTGTCCAATGTCCCTAGTGCCCACTACCTGCCTTGCGCAGCATAGACCACTAGGTCCTTAATGTTAATATCTAGCCAATACTTCGCAAAATGTCTGAGAACACTTCAACTTCCTTTGTATTCCAGCTAGCGGTGCACTGGTATATTTGTCCCTTACTGCATGCACTGTTAAGTGGCCTTCTAGAGTAGGCAGAACTGTTTTCATTCTCTTGGTTACTATCCCTCATTAAAGCTTAACCAAGTCCAAGGGACAAAGCAGCAATTCCAGAGATAATGGTTGAAAACAGATGGGGAGACTCCTCCCCCAATAGATGCGTTTGGAAACACCGAGTGTCCTGGTCTCTCCATTCTCACAAACCTGGACTCTCGACTTTAATACCATCCCTGTCTCACCTACAGCAGTAATTATCTCAAAGCAGGGGCAAATGCCCGCCCCAAATGGCAAACGTTCCTCCTCAACCAAAGACCTCAAATTTCCGCTGCCTCTGGAGGGGGTCTCCAACCTTCAGAAAAATGGCCAGGTGCCCCCAGGCCTTCGATTCTGAAGTTAGCCTTTTTCCGCAAATATCACCAGCACAGGCTTTTCACATCTTTTTGCGGGAGAATGTTTCCTCAGTGGACTGGTTTTACTCCCTCAAGAGTAACCAAGCCGTTTCACTTTTCGAGCCTCCCGACTCTGCGTCCCTCCGCCTCAGCCTTCCTCCTGCTGTCAACACGGCCGTTTCTCCGGGAGGTGGCCCGACCCGCGTGGCCGGGCGGTTAGGCGGCCAACGGTTTTCTAACGCGAGGGGGGAGCGCGGGAGGAGAGGCGGGAACGAGTCGTACCCGAGGGAGCCGACGCAGGGCGGGGCCAGCGCCGGGAAGGATCGCGAAGGAGTTGGGAGGCCCCGCCCTTTCCGTAGATATCTCTAGAAAACCGCGCAGGAGCCCGAAAACAAAGAGTGCGCACGCGCGGCGGCAGGGCCCGGGCATTTTGCTGCGTCACCAGCCGCCGCCCGGCCTCACCACCCCTCGCTCGCACGCACGCACGTTCATTCTCCGTCCTCGCGCCCCTTTTCCTACACTTTCCTCTTCTCCCCGACCCGAGGAGCCGCTCTCTCCGCGCAGTGCATTCTGGGGACCCAGGTCGAGCCCGCCGTCGCCTGAGGGTAGCCAGAAGAGGCCGCGACCGGGAAGAAAACGCCGAGTCGCCACCGGAGAAGAGTCGACTGCCCAGCAGCTGCCGCCGGAGAGGCCCGCCCACCCGTTCGCCCGTCCCCCTGCCCCGTTCACGATGTGAGTGCGACACCCGGCCGAGGGAAGGTCGTCCCGGAGGGAGGCCGAGGCCGCGCAGGGGGCTGCTGGGAAGCTGCCCTCACCCCTCCCCCGCTTTCGGCCCCCTCGGCTTTCTCCCCTCGGTGGCGGCAGTCGCTCTTTCTTGTGGTGGGAGGTCCAGTATCCTTGTTCCGGTTACCGTTGGCGGGTGGAGGACATTTTTCCTCCAGATGTCCTCTTTCCCCACCTCTGAACCGTCTCTCGGCTTCCCCGCGCCGCAAATCCCACTTTTCCTCCTTCGCTAGTCCAGGTTACTCTAACTCCGTAACTTAGCCTTAGGCCTTCCTCTCCTGGGAGTTTTTTGCCATGCGGGCGCCCTAGAGGCGCGGACTCTCTTAGACAGCCACTTGGCTTTTTTTTGGGTGGTCTGATTCTGCCGCTCCGTGATGTTGGGACCAGGCCCTGGGACTAGTGCACCTGTGGTGAGTGCTGGCAACGGTGCTCCTCGTAGAGCACCACGCGGCCTTCCGCCGTGAGCGACAGGTACTGCTAGGCAACTGCGGGGAGGTCATACCGTCACCACAACTTCTTTCTCTCCGGGATCGTGATTTCTTGGGAATGGGTCTTTCCAGGCCTCCTCCTAACTTCAGTCTTTTGATGGGAGTGAAGGTTGCCAAAACTCAACCTTGTCCCAGGCCGCGAGGAGTTAGTATTGAGCAGGTAGTTCGCACGTGTCGAGTGGAAAGATACTTGGGGACGTTTTCTGTGTTCTACATTAAACTTGAGGTGAGGTTTCATTATCCTTTTTTAATTAACGGTGAAATAGGTACGTAACTGCCTTCTTATTGTCTTTGAGAGCTTAAATTTGTTTACGTTGAGGTGACAGTTTTTTTGGTTTTTGTTTTTTAACAATTTAGTTGACTGTGGTAAAGAAAAAAAACCATAGTGGTTTTTTTTTTTTTAAAGATTTTATTTATTTATTTGACAGACACAGCGAGAGAGGGAACACAAGCAGGGGGAGTGGGAGAGGGAGAAGCAGCCCCCCCCCACCCGAGCAGGACCCCGATGTGGGCCTCGATCCCAGGACCCTGGGACCATGCATGACCCGAGCTGAAGGCAGACGCTTAACGACTGAGCCACCCAGGCGCCCGCCATAGTGATTTTTAAACGAATAGGAATCTTTGGCACTCCCACTTCCAGGCCTTACATTCTTAGGAAAATTTCTGTCCTTCTAGATGTGAGAATTGTCGGTTTTATAGTGTTTTTTGGTACTAACTCCCCCCTAAAAGTTTTGTAGAGAGAGTAATTGAAGAGTAACAATTTAATTCCTGTGAAAAGTAACCCACTCTCAAAGGTTTACTTAATGATGATACAGTTGGTGAGTATATTGGACTAGACATCTCAGTGTGTAAGTAACGGATACACTACAGCTGGTTGATGATGGAGAGCAAGCCTCAAGAACACAGTAGTATTGGGCGCCTGGGTGGCTCAGTCGTTAAGCGTCTGCCTTTGGCTCAGGTCATGATCCCAGGGTCCTGGGATCGAGCCCCACATCGGGCTCCTTGCTCAGCGGCAAGCCTGCTTCTCCCTCTCTCACTCCCCCTGCTTGTGTTCCCTCTCTTGCTGTGTCTCTCTGTGTCAAATAAATAAAATCTTAAAAAAAAAAAAAAAAACTCAGTAGTATTGTATAAAAGGGATATATTAGAATTTTGGAAGGATCCCACCCCCATGGTATCTAACAAAAATACTTTATGTAAAGTAGCTTTCACTTTTCCCTTTGAAATCTCTGTTCCAAATAATGTAGCAGGTTTGTCAGTTTTAAAATGCCTTTTATACTTTGAAACTCCATGAGCAGAAAATAAATTCTCTGAGAAGCTACCCACTGTTAAATAGACTAATGTAGCCAAAAAAAATATCTTTTCACCAAGAAATACCAACCTTAAAATGACTTGAAATATACTTTTGGGAGGTCACATGAAATAAAGAGATGAGACATTAGGTAAATAGATCAAAAACTCAGATGAAAAGCGTAATAATATTCCAAAAAGCAGTCCTCAGTTACAAGAATGCTACATTCAGTGTGTTTTGAAGAGACCAAGTAAATCTCCTCTTTAAAATAAATGAACTAATGACTTGAATAAGTTTACAAGATGAATATTAATGAATCAGTTGAGTTGAAAAAAACCTTTAGTGGGTCATCCAGTTCTGGAAGAATCTGGCAGATAAGGGTTCATTTTGTGGATGTTTGCTATTAACATTTTATTTTATTTATTTATTTATTTATTTTTAAATTTATATGTTAAAGTAATCTCTGTCCCCAGCATGGGGCTCAAACTCATAAGCCTGAGATCAAGAGTTGCATGCTCTTCTGATTGAGCCTGCCATAAAACTTATTTTAAGGTGGAGAGAGACATTCATGCTTGGATATTTTAAGGGTTTTACAGTCTTTTTTTCCTCACCTGAATACTGTTAGTAGTGGTTTCTAGATACATTTCTTTGAATCAGGTTTTTAAAGTTTTGTCTAATAGTTTACATAAAAACTCAGTCTCTCACCCCCTTTGGAGAAGGCTGGGATTTTAGGACCTCTTCTAACGTGGGGGTGGGGGGTGCTAGTTTGCTTTTTTTTTTAAATTAGCTATTGTAGTTGGTTCTAATTCTAATTTAGACTCTATGACAATAGATACGAAGTAAAAGGTTTTTTTTTTTTAAAGATTTTATCTATTTATTCATGAGAGACAGAGGGAGAGAGAGAGAAGCAGAGGGAGAAGCAGGCTCCCAAGGAGCAGGGAGCCTAATGCGGGACTCGATCCCAGAACCCTGGGATCATGACCTGAGCCGAAGGCAGACGCTTAACCGTCTGAGCCATCCAGGCGCCCCAAAGGTTTTGTTTTTTAAAGGAAAAGTTTTCTGTTCGTACTTTTGTTTGTAAGTTTTTGTTGGATTTTTGTTTTTAGTAATCTCTGCACCCAATGTGGGGCTTGAACTGGTGACCTGGAGATCAAGAGTCCCGTGCTCTTCTGACTGAGCCAGCCAGGAGCCCCTGTTTTATTTAGTTTTGATCTCTCTGAAGTCATTCTTTGGGTTGTTTTCTACATGAGTTAATAAATTCTCCAGAAACGTACTCTATATCTAGCATTGGTTAAAATCTTGAATATTTTGCCATCACTCCGTTTTGTAGAATTGAGTCCCCAAAATAAAATAATTGGTCTTTGGCCTCCAAAACAAATTGTAATAGTGAGCATATGGTATATGGTTAATTTCTGTAAGTTAAGAGTAACTGATGGCTTTTGTTCAGTGTTGATTTCCTAACCAATGTAACCTGGCAACTGGATTTTCTTCTTTTTCTCTGTGCTTAGTTAGACTTTAACTAGAAAGCAGTTGAAACTGGAAGTGACAAATCAGTTTAGTGCTGGCAAGTGTAAACTGTTAATTAAGATACTCATGTTTAATTGTATTTTCTGTTTCAAAATCTCAGAGCTGTATCATTTTGGGGTCTTGGGTGGTAGTGATTGTCACTTTTCAGGAAAAAATACCCTTGTAATACGGGCTGTTTAGAATCAGTCTAGTTCTTAAATGCTTAAGATATCTGAGTTCCTAAATTGGAAGTTACTGAACCTAGTGTATTTTGCTATAGAAATACAATGTGTGTTGTAATAGACTTTTGCCATCTGTGTAGATTGACAATGATAGATTTTAAATTGAAGCTGACTTCTCTGCTTCCCTAGGTCACCTTTGAACTTTTAGTTTTTCAGGAAGAGGCCAATTATTTTAAACATTACCTTAAGCAGTAGTATGCCCTCCCCTGTATTGTATTCCAAAGCCATAATGTGCTGTTGTGCATTTTCTGTACAGTAGTTGATCTTCACAGGTTGTCATACTGTATTGCTAAAAAGTGTTTGTCAGGGCCTTTCCAACTCAGCATTTTAATTATCTTTGTGTGCTGGAAGGATCCAAGTTACAAGGAGGTGTTCTGAAAATTTTTTGTATGTATTTAAGTTCCAGGATCTAGTTCTTCAAATACTAATTCGGACAGTGCTAATTAGTATAAGGAACTGCCCTAGATAGGATTAGAACTCAGGATTTCTGACAGAAGGCTTGTTTTTTTCCACTTTACAAAAAGGGAGAATAATTTTCCAGGTGATCCTTTTATTTCCAAAGAAAGAAATATGTCTCTGTAGTTCTGTTTTATTATCTAAACGGTTTCTGTTAAAACCTGTGCCACTTCTTGACATACGGTAACGGAGCCCAGAGGCTCTGAAATTTGTAATGGAGGCAATGAGACGTTGACCTTCTTTGAGTCTTATTTGTATGAAGAAAGATTACTGTATCTACTTTGGAGATGTTTAAAAGGATATGTGCCAAAGAAGGGAATGTAGGAAGGTTGGAGTTGCTTGGAAGAAAGGCACTAAGTTCTGGAATAAATACTATCTTTAAGAACAGCTTTTACTTTTATGTTTTATTTATTTTTATTTTTTTTAAAGATTCTATTTATTTGACAGAGCACAAGCAGGCAGAGAGGCAGGCAGAGGGAGAGGGAGAAGCAGGCTTTCCACTGAGCAGGGAGCCCGACGCGGGGCTCCATCTCAGGACTCTGGGATCACGACCTGAGCCAAAGGCAGCTGCCTAACCGACTGAGCCACCCAGGCGCCCCTCACTTTTATGTTTTAGAGTAGGGATTACCAAATAAAGGAACTAACACAGAGGTTCACAAATGTTCCTGGTTTGCCCCTTTTTGTCTTAGTAGGTTGTTTTTTGGGGGTTTTTTGTGGTGGTGTTGGCCAAAAGGAGTAACCTAGCAGTTCTGTTTATTACGGAGTTCGGTCCAAAAACTTAATTTGTCCTGTTTGCCTTGTAATCTTTGAAAAGTTAATACACAAAAGTTGAAAGAAAAATGTCATTTCTTTTATAACCACAGTTACTAATGGAATATATATGCCCTTTGGGCACTGTAACTTCTTATACCTTGAATTCAGATTGGATACTTCTATCTCAATTTCTGTTCCCCACCAATTTTTTTATGG